TGTTCCTTTTTTTGTTCCTTTTTTTAACAAAATAAAACCTCTGTAGTGAACAAGAAATTAGCAACAAAAAAAATCTTATTTTTTTAGCCTTTGAATTTTTCGCACACAGTTGGACTGCATCAAGTGGAAGAAGACAGATGTGTGGCTGAGGAGGGGGGGGGGGGGAGGGTTCAGGGGCTTAATGGAAAAATACTATCCATATCTGTGCTGTGTAAAGAGTCCCATCCTGGGTCAGCTTGGCCCGGTTTGGCCCGGTCCGGATACGTGCCGCTCCTCGGGGCAGCAGATGTGTGACAGATGTGTGGCAGATGTGAAGATGGCGTGCTCTGAGGTTCCAGCTAAATTTATTTTCTCTCCTGGCTAAGTTTCATGAGCAGCAACATGATTGTATCATCTCCAGTACTCACAAGACAGCACAGGGCTTCTTCTAAAGTCTCCTGAGAGTTTGTCTTTGTTCCTTTTCCGTCTTTATAAAACAACAAAGCCAGAATTATTGTGGAAATATGTTTAGGGAAAACCAGCCTGAAACCGGAAGCCACGACCCTGAAGACAGAAGTGAGTTCAAACCGCTCACAGGAGGTGAACTATATACACATTTGGGCCTCTGTCATCGAAACACTCAACATTAAATGGGTTTTTTTAAATGTATTTGTTAGGGCACATATAAGGCAGACAGGTATTTTCACAACTGCATCATGAACCTTGCTATATATGGACATGTAAATAAAGTTCTCTAAAGGCAAACGAGGATGTTATCTGTGACTTGGGTTTGCTTTAAGAACACTGCCAGTGTGGGGCGAATCTGCACTGGATAGCTATTCCTTTTTTGTGTTTCACAGAAAAAACTATTAAACAGCTTCTTAAGGATTAATGTAGGTGTGATTATGTGAAGGGTATTGCCAGATACAAACTGAAACTAAAGTCAAAAGAAGCATTTGCTGAATATTTGTTTAAAACTGAACAGCCAGAAAAAGTGTGCTGACCGTGAGATGCCAGAAAGCATCGTAGAAATATTTAGATAAGAAATGAAGGATGTGAATAGAGAGAACACTCTGCCTCCGCTCTCCTGTGAGGAAGGACTTCTCTCGCTGAGGAAACACGACAGCGACTTCTCTGGTGAGCGTCGGCGTCATCAGATGTGAGAAGAAGTGTCCTGGGATTTAAGCCAACAGCCAGCTCCTCTCTGACTGCAGCTCTCAGTGAATAATGCAGTCGTACGTACGGTTGTGTTTTCATGCAGTGAGGCGAGATAAAGGTGATCTGCAGTACAATAGGCTGAGGAATGGATTATTGAATCAATCCTATCCGAGTACATTATTATGGAACATTGTAAAAATAAATGATATTAAAGTCAACATCCTGAGATTAAAGTCAGGCAAAAAGTCAGAAAACTGAGAAAAATCTGAAATTTGAAGGAAAAAGTCAGAATTTTGAACAATTCCAAAAGTCTGAATTCTGTATAGTTTGGAAAAAAGTTAAAATTTGGAAAAGGTCAAAACTATAAAAAAAGATTGAAAAATACAGAATTCTGAAATCTGATAAGAAAAAAAGACCAATCAAATATTTCCTCAGAATTCTGACTTTAATCTCAGAGAAAAAAGTTAAGTTTTGGTCAGATACAATAAACAGATAACATGTGGCCCTCATCCTCTTCCGTACTGTAATGGTTATTGGTGTAGATCCGCCAAGACAAAAAGCCTTACTGTCAATAAACCTGAAGAAAATGAAACTAAACTATCTCTTGTCCAGTTTAAAGAATTACTTGCACACGGGTGGAAAATAAATCATTTAGCTTCATTTTTTAAATGCTGCTCATCACAACACGGGGCACTCTCAAGGCTGCTATTGCCTCGACACGGTTTCCAACTAGTGTGCCCGCTGGACTACAGAAAAAAAACTGGATAAAGACATTAAACTCATGGCAAATACCTGTCAAAGCAAGCACACTTAAATCCACAAAAGAGACCAGGAACAATATAAAAGAAGCCTAAGAACAGATCCATGGCATGGTATTTATGAAGTGAGAATGTGTCACCTCATAGACTTCAGGAAAGGTGCACTTGATATTAGACAGACGTTCACTCTGGTCTTTTACTATGTTTTACTGGCTTACTGTGCAATGCTGCATTGGTTTGGAGTCACTGGGTCACATGACATGGAAGCTATGGAAGAACATTGAAGCTTTTCATTCAAAGAAATGCTGAATTCCCATTCATATAAAATAAGAAACACCAAAGAGGTGTGTCCGACTCCTGTGAAGAACTACAATGCTTCATTCATTTGGAGTCACTGGGTCACATGATTTGGAATCTATTAAACCAAGACATTTCTGAATTTCCATTCAAATATTCATGTAAAACGTGTATTTGTTTTGAGTGAGGAGAGAGGGAGATTTACCCTTCTGGATTTCTGTCTCTATCTGAGAATAACGGTCAAACAATCGATCATTCAACACAAGTTTGGTTTATTTTTCACACATAGTATTTCTTGAACAGCCCATGGGAAACGCATCAGGAGGGGGAAAAGACACAGTGCAGTTAAAAAAAAAGTTCCTTGGCTTTTAAAAGAGAAAAACTAAACATGGGCTTGTAAAACCGAAAATAAAAGTTGTTATATTGTTGGAACAAAGAAAGCACAGGCAGGGCGGGAGAGACGTTACTGACAGTTAAAGAAGAGTCACGCTTTACCACCAAATGCACGGCCGTGGTGATACAGCATCGATCAGAGCAGAGTGCAAGCTTGTGGGCAGACAAAGGCATTAAACCGTACCCATGATACCCTCACAGTAAAAGCCCCTCTTCTTTCCGGCAAATGTAGCTAAATGTCTGCACAATTAAATACAAATGGCATACTATATTGTGAAATGAACCCCTGTGGAGCTTTGGCTGTGAGACTTTCTACTGTACTTACTGAGAAAAATCATATTCTTCTTGTTTTATCAGCAGAAGTGAGGCAACAAGCATGCAGTAAGAGTGTTGGATGGTTAATCTGAGTCGCTGTGCTGTACACTGACCCAACAGACACACCGTTTAGTTACACAATAAGGACTGAAAACAGACTACAGCATATTTACTACCACTTTTGAATAAAAAAGGGAAATGAAACAGGAGACGGATCAGAGGGTCTTCTTTTTGATCTTTACACAGGACTCTGTCTGTCTCCACCACCAAGGAGAAGCATGATTTAAAAAAGTAAAAGAAATATATTTCCCCGCCTGTGTTGATTTTGTACGTCTCCATGTGTGTGAGTGCGTCCCCGAAACGCAGTCATAGGCAACCCCAATACATAAACATATCATTACAGAAGACGAGCAATCACTATTCATAAAAAATACTGAAATAAATGAGTATTAATAAAAGAAAAAGCTTGAAATGTGCCTGTTTCGTCTACACAGTGGTGATGCATGTCCTAACGACGCTCTGATATACAGTTTGCCTGCCGGTGTGGAGTATGATACAAGGAGGAGCAAAAACCTGGTGTTAAAAGAGGTTTGGCGGTTTTGAAAAACACTTAAGAGTTAGATAAGAAGATTGTTTTCTAATCTATAAAGGTGTCTTCAAAAAAGTCAAACTTAATCAATATCTTCGATGTAACACTAACGCATCAGCAGGCAGGCGGAGGTGAGACAATGACTGATCATTCTCATCTGGTTTGCAAATAAAAAGGCAACAGCAACTAGTTGCATAACATGTGGAAAGGGTCAGGATTAGTCGCTGCTTAGTTGGCTGCTGATGATAATCGGGGGGTGTTAGTTCGCCCTGTTGTCTGCCTGACAGTGGAGCTGCTGCTGCTTCACGGAGCTGACAGGCCTCTAATGAGAGGAGGGAGAGCAGAACCTTCCGGAGAATCAGAGGAGCTGCTCATTACACGCTGCCTTTGTCAGACCAAAATAAAATAGATATTAAGCAGAGAGACGGGGGGAGCGCTGCGGTGAATGTTTAATTGGGTGCTCTGTGTGTGGTGTGTGTGTGTGTGTGTTTCTCCCTCAGAGGTTTTATCCAAGTGTGTTTTTTACTATGTAACTAAGTACATTTACTCCAGTATTGCACTTTACATTGTTAGGTACTACGTTACTTGGGTATTTCAGAGTTTTGCAACTTTGTACTTTTGCTCCACTACATTTATTTGGTTTCTTTAGTTACTTTGCGCAATTTGGATTAAAGATGTGAAATATAATCAAGTGTTAAATCAGACTTTAGTTCCACCTGGAGTAAATCCACAAGCTACCCTGCAGTATACAAAAGCATTCAAACTAGCTGCACCTTTACCAGCTTTGAGAACACTTTAAAGGTAGGGTAGGTCATTTTGGAGAAACCAGCTCGAGTGCCAGAATTTGAAAATACACAACCGTAAAAAATCTGCCACTTCCTTCAGACTTCCTCACAGAGCCCCTCCTCCAACACACACGAACGCGCACATGACCAATGAGGGCACGAGATGAATTTGTGCACAGATGGAAGGCTGACAGGCAGGTAGGCCATCCAGTTACTTTAGCCGGCTCAGATGATTGGTCGTGCTTTTTACAGCGCCACGGCTTCCACAGATGAAATGTTGTTATGTATTTATTGTCAAAGCATTTAATGTATTCATTGCTATCGGGATGTTAAGAGCATTCCATGGAATATAACAAGTGTTTCTGAAATAAATTACATACCCCACCTTTAATGAGCAATCATTATAAAACACATCATGTATATTATTCTGAAAGGGACCAATCTGCAGAACTAATACTTAAGAACCAGATCACTTCTCCCACCACCTTCTTTCATGTGAGTGTGTGTGGATATCTGAAGCACCCCCCCCTCTCGGAGCGTCATCGTTCCCTAGCTCCTGACACCTCTCTGGGGGGGGGGGGGGGGGGTGCTGCGGCGTCAGCCTCATTAAGGCCTCCACTGTCTGGCTAATGAATCGATTGTGTGGTATCAGGGCTCCTGGCTGCCTCCTCTGGGGGGCTCCCTTCCACTGAGCTCTTAATCAGGAAACAGCCCTAATTACCCCCCCCTCTTTCCTCTTCCTCTCTCACTTTCTCTCCTCCTTCTTGTCTTTCCCTGCTGACTTTATCTCTACGCTCCACCGCCCTTTTTCTTTGTCCTTTCTTATCTCACTGCTTTCCTTTCTCTCGCTCTGCTATCATGGCGCATCCTTGGGCTAAAAGTGGAAGAAGGGGAGGAGGGAGGAGGCATTTTGGAGCTTCCATAGTAGCTTATATCACAGGAAATAAGTGGGAGATGGGGGCTGTATAAGGGGTTCAGGTCAGGAGGTCTAAGGTGATGCAGTTGCTCCAAAAAAACAAACAGAAAATCCCCGTCCTGCGTGTCCCCTCCCGTCCTCAGTACACCACCTCGTACACCGTGGCCTTCTTGTCCCCGGAGCCCGTCACGATGTACTTATCGTCGGGGGAGACGTCACAGCTCAGCACGGACGAGGACTCCTTGGACTGGAGGAGAGGAAGAGGGATGAGAGACAGAGAGAAACACAAAGAGAAAGATGTTAGAAAAGGAATGACTCATCAGCTGATACTCAATCATACAAGACATATTTGCATTTCCAAACAGTCGGCAATTATTTCCAAACTCCACAGCTCCGGGATGCTGACTCATTCGTCTGCTGCCTCGATGTGAAACACACTTCTCCCCCCCCTCTCTCTCTCTCTCTCTCGTTCTCTGGAGAGATGTAGCCTCATTAGCCGCAGGTTTGAGCGTCACTAGCTGATGGTCTGTAGGAACCGGCAAAGTGCACGCTTTTCTTTTTCCTTCCTCTTTCCTCCTGTGTTTGAAAGCCAGACCTGAGCACCTGACTTTAGATGATCTAAAGCTCCCTGTAGTCCCCCCCCCTCCTCCCACTGCTCCATCATCATTTATCTTCCTCCCTCTCTTCCCAGACTCCCCTTCCTCCTCCTCTCTCTGCCCTCCCTACAGCAGAGCTGTCAATCATCAAGCCACCGATGAGAGGCCATTTCACACAGGACCCCTCATACTACACCAAGATAGCAGGTAAGGGGGAGATAGGGGAGGAGAGGAGTTCAGGAGTTCAGGAGGACATGACAAGCCACAAGATGAGTTTGAAAGGGTTTGAGTCAACAATAGGAACAAAGGGAAAAACGCACATCTTCCGGCATGAATGTTTAGTTTAACACTAAAAAGCCCTTCTTGATAAGTTTAGGGAATTGCGTAAACAACAAAGACCACAACTATCTTTGAAGTCTGTTCAGCACATGTATTAATACAGAACGAATAGATATAGATATAAATAGAATAGAATAAATCTATTCAGTTAGATTAATTAGGCATAAGCAATGATGGTTATAGCTATGCAAACAATACGGTGGCCGACTGGTGCAAATGTAATCAACAGACCAACACACTGACATTAGGAGAAACACACGACACTTTCAAAAGTGCCGAAACACCAACTGCACTAAACATCCACACATTTGCTAAAAGCTCTGCATAAACGAAACGATGCAAAAAAGCTCAAAACACAACGGAAAGGGGGGGACGGTAAAAAGTAGGGCTGCTCAATTAATCGTATTTTAATCGCGATTACGATTATGGCTTGCAACGATTACGAAAACCACGTAATCGAAATAAAACGATTATTTTTTTATTATTATTACTTTTTTTTTTTTTTTTTTAAATAATTTTTTTTGTTGGGGTTTTCAGTTGAATTATAAAGTTCAGGGTAATCAACTGTTAAAAACATACTGTTCACATTTTTTTTCTCCAATAAATGGATGTTTTCAAAGTCAATGAATAATCGCATTTACAATTATTGACCCAAATAATCGAGATTATGATTTTTGCCATAATCGAGCAGCCCTAGTAAAAAGTGATGCACACAGCCGGGACCAGAGCGCTGGTTGACGTTCGGGATTATTTGTGTGTGTCCCTTTCTGTTGGGTTTTGAGCTCCTTGCAGATATTTGAATTTGTATTTGCACATTTTGAAAGTGCAGCGTGTTTCAAGTGTTTTGGGCTGTTGTTGCGCATGTCGGCCACCGAACAATACAGCGTGTTTGATAAAGAACAAAGCAACAGAGGGACAGAACTGAAGAATAGGGTAGCACTTTAACTAGCCAAAGGATAGGAGAATACAGGTATGACAAAAGGAATGAAAAGTGGAGATGGGGAAGGAGAGTGCAAGGATAAACCAAAGGACACGGACAGAAGAAAAACAAGGGTGGAAGTAAAGATTAAAAGAGAGAGCACAGAGAGGCATACATAAACAGAGAGACAGGGAGAGAGGAAAGAGAAGGGGGTTAAAGAGATGCAAGGAGACAGAAACAGGAAAGGACAGCGATAAAAGCAGAGGAGGAGGAAGAGGAGGAAGAGGAGGGTGAGCGGTGTAACACGCTGACAGCAGGGAGCTGTTTGGCAGCAGAAACATTTGGCATTTGGATAACAAAGCAGATAGTGAGTTTCCTCCTGTTAGTCCGCAGGGAGAGAGAGGAGCGCCAACCCTGCTGCCCCGCTCTCTCACACACACACACACACACACACACACACACACACACACACACACACACACACACACACACACA